GGGGGGGGGGGGGCGTTGCAGTGGCGAGGGTTCTTGCTGCCCCGTTTTGCATATGCTTCGGGTCCCCAGTGTGGGTTCGCACATGCACACCTGATGTGCAATCGTGCCGAGCCTGGTCGGGGCGACCTAAGGCAAAGCAAGGGAAAGTGGACGTCTCCGCACGCTGACGCCCGCCATGCCGCTAGTGCCTCTTGCAGTTCTGTGTTCGTGTGTGCGTATGGTCGGCGACCTGGCGCCCTCCGCTGAGGGAACCACCGCCGTCTGCTCCCGGCCCTCCAGCATCGCCGGCCCGGCGCTGCGCAACCCCGAGACCGGTCGCGAGCCGCAGAGCGACGGAGGTCGCGAGACTTGCGTCGCGGCGCTCTGCGACGGGGCGTGCGGTGCGGGCGAAGGCGCGTCTCCGCCAAGGCTCGGCTGCCGCCTCCACTCCTCCGCTGCGGCCTCGAGCTCTGCCAAACGCGAGGCCAGCGCGTCCCGAAGCGAGTCCGCGCTCGACAGCTCCGCGACCAACGCGTCGGCCCTCGCCACCGCCTCCGCAGCCTGAGATCACAAGTCACGAAGCTCCCGTGGCGTGGCAAGTAGTGCGGGGCTGAGGCGTGGCGATCCGGAGGTGTGTGTCGCGGAGGCGGAGGCGAGAGGTGGTGGCTGCGGTTGTGGTGTGCTGCACCTGTCGGTTCGATTCGGCCGCCGCGCCCCTCTCCGCCTCGGCAGACTCCCTGGCCTCTCTCACCTCCGTCTCCAACGCGTACTTGTCCTGGTACAAGGTGGCGTTCGCAGCCTCGAGCGCCTTGGCCTGCGCCTCCAGCTGCTCGGCGACGGATGCCGCGCGCACCGCCTCCTCACGCAACATCGACTCGTACCGATTACGCTCGGCGGACGCCTAAGAGAGGGGAGCGTTGAACCATGAGCTATTGTTCTCCTCGGAGCTGGGTACGCGCTGCGACGAGCAAAGAAGCGGGTGACTAGAGGTCCATGGATGCTCGAGTGATCTCAGGCAATCTCGGGGCAATCGCACCGCGGCACGCAGCTGCTGTAGCTCCCCCTCGACCTCGATCAACCGCCTGCTCGCTGCCTCCGCCACCCCCGCCGCGTCGCGCGCCTCGTGACTGCACCGTGTGTCCGCCTACGCCGCACACGGGGTGCGTCATCGACGTGTCGTGCACCGGATGGTCAGCAGCGCGCGCCGGCCTCTTGCAGCAGCTCTGCCCGCTGCTGTCGCAGCCTCTCCTCGTGCCGGGCCTGCAGCGAGACCACACGCGCCTCCCACGCCCGCGCCCGCCGCTGCACCTCGGCCGCCTCTGCCCCGCGCGACGCGCAGGCGTCCGCAAGCTCGACCTCTGTACCGTCCAGCTCGTCGCCGAGCAAGGCCGCCTCCAAGGCGGATCTCGCCACCTCCGACTTCAGCTCCTTGCAGTGGGCCTCCGCTGCGGCACAGTACCTGTGAACGGGGTACAGAGTCAGCAGGAGCGCGGCTGGAGAACGTGGACCGTACAGCTAGACTTGGCTCCGCAAGCCCAACATCCCGACCTCCGCTCATTTTCTGTGCATATCTAAGATCTCAGCCAATCTCGGCCAGCCTCGGCCAGCCTCGGCCAATCTCCGCTCACCGGTCAAATTCGACCTCCATCTCGAGGAGCTCCGCCTCGTAGGATGCGCGGATGGCGGCTTCACTCGAGCCATCCTGAGGGAATGCTGGCTCCCGCGCGGCCGCCGATGTCGCCGACCCGCCCCTCTCTTGCGCCCCGGTGCCGCCTTCGCCGCCTGTGTTGCGAGGGTGTCGCACGCTAGGCTCCTCCGCCACCTTCCTCTCGAGCTCCCCCAACCCGCCACTGTCGGCCACCAGCAGCGGTCGCCGTTTTTCCGCGTCAGCCAGTGCGCCGCCTGGAAGAGCCTCTGACGGCTCCTCCGCCCCAGCCTTCGCGTCTGCCTGCTCCTCCCCGTCGTGGCTTTTGGCGAGCACCTCCTCTTCTTCCTCACCGGCCTCTGCCGCCTCCTCCTCGCTATCGCTATCGGCGCCCCCTCCCGAGCTTGCCACCGCCTCTGACAGCGGCTCGACGCCATCGCTTGGCTGCACCGACAGCTCCGTAGCCCCCGCTTTGCCGTCGGACTTGCCCTGCGTGGCGATGTGCCCCTTCACCCGCAACCGAGCTCGCTCCATGGCCGCTCTGTCCCGCTCCGACGGGCGCTCTGGCCCCGCGGCACCAAATGCCGCCGCGACCAGCGCAGCGGCGTCCGCCTCCGCGGCGGCCGCGCAAGCGCGAAAGGCTGTGACGAGCGTGTTTGTCACCTCGTCGACGTGCTTTCCTCCGAGCACATCCTTGAGCCAGTCGCTCAGCTCGGATACGTACGTGAGCGCGGACGCGGACACCTCGGCTGGCGATGCGCCGCCCGAGGGCGACGTCGCGCGGGGTGGCTCCCTCGGAGCCCCTGCCCGGACCAAGGCCTTGCGTGTGGGTGATTGCGAGCTGCTCAGCATCCTAGTGGCTTTGTCGCGGAGGCCAGCCTCGGCGGACGCGCGCTCCTCCTCGACCTGCTCGAGCTCGGATGCGAGAAGGCAGACCTGCTGGTCGAGCTGCGCCGCGCGGCTCGCCTCGGCAAAGGCCGCGGCCGACGCGCGGTGCAATCGGCCCGCCGAGGTGAGCAGAGCGCCGCCTGACGTGAAGACTCGTCCATGCTGCGCCTGTTGCCGTGCGCGCGGACGCGTCGGTCGATGGCATATGGGCGCGCCGATTGCTGGCGCTGTAGGCACATCGACTGGCATGGCGGCTGCTGAGGAGGGCAGAGGCGAGGAGCCCAGAGGAGCTAGGTAAGGAGGTGTTCCTCTGATATGACGCACCTCGACCCCGCACAGTCCCTGGTAGAAGGCGGCTGAAAGGGTCTCGTCGGCGTCAGCCTCCAATCGCGACCACGCCTCCTCCCTGACGCCGCGGGGGCCCTGGGCCGCCTCGACCGTGCTCGAGGCTTGCTCCCGCAGCTGCTTGATTGCGGCCGTCCGCTCACTGGGTGAGAATCGTGATGGGGGAGGGGGGGGGGGGGTATCAGAGCTCGCTTGGCGTGCAACTCTGGGAGAACATGCAGGACTGGACGCCGCAGAGGAGCGGTCGGGGAGGGAGCTCCGAGTTACTAGTGGAATGGGTCGGCCCAGTCCGATTCTGGCAGGGCTGCTTTTCGGAAGCCACCTCGCCGCGTCGCCGAGCGAACGTACGATAATCTCAGCACGCGCGCGGGCAGCGTCGCCCAGGTCGGCGATCGACAGCTCCCGCTCTCGCGCCTCATCGCCGCACGACTGCGCCTCGTAGGAGCCGAGCGTGTGCGCAACCCGCTGCTGGACCGCGCTCAGCTCACCTCGCACCTGCGCACACGCGTGGATGTGGTGAGACGTGCGGCAGCAGGGACTGTCGAATCGCCAGGACTGGGAGGCTGTGATGATCGTCGACGGCAGCGAAGGGCGAGGCCATGCGGGTGGTGGAGGAGACTGCTCTCGCCCTCGCCCGTGAGGCAAGTCAAGGCCGGGCCCACACATCACGACAGAGATGGTCCATAGGACACGTCCTAGGTGCGTCGCCGCCGTTGGGATTGGCGCAGTGACACATGACGGTCGAGCTTTTATGCTGGGGGCTAGAGGACCGAGACCTGAGCAAACCGCTGCTGCGGGCCGGGATCGGTTGTGTCGAACACTGAGCTGCGGCGGCCAGCGCTCGAGCCTCGGGTCGGTGAGGGACTCCTCGCCGGCGATAATGGCTGGCCGGGTGCGAACGAGCCGGATCGGGCGGTCCGGGCGGGGGACGCCTGCCGCGACATGTAGCGGCATTTGTGTCTGACACACTTGCCGGTCGTTACAATGCACTTGGATCGTTCCCTCACACAAGACTGTGAACACAGTCCACAGTCCAGTAAGAGCAGAACTTTCTCCTTAGAAGCACCGTCACACGGACATTGATTGTGACCTGCAAGTCCTTCTCCCACTAAGAATGCGAACGGTCGATGCCAGTGGAGCGAGGGAGTTGGCTCTCTTGGAGAGCAGGGGAGTCTTAGGCAGACTCGGCGGCCGATGCGGCATTGGCCTCGGGCTTGATGCCGCTTTCGTTCCGCGGCCTTCTTGAAGCAGAAGAGGAGCGCGGACGCCAGCAGGAGGAGGAGGCCCACAAAAACGGCGGCGGCAATATTGATGATGTAGCCGTCGGCTTCGTACCCAATGTCTTGATCCAGCATTATGTGGGCGGAGACTTCCGTCAGGCACATAGCCTCCGTAGTCCGCACCTTCGCCAACCAGGCAGCTGAAGGCGGCGGCGGCTTTGGGCAAAACCCGTGTCCACGAGTGCCGCCTCCGTCGCTGTCGAGAGCGACGAGGACGCGAGGTGCTCGTCGAAGTTCACCTCGACGCGGATCGGGGCTTCGCGTACCGCCCGCCCCACCGCCGCCTCGATGTCATGGGCGCTCAGCGGCGCCGGCAGCTCTCGGAGGGCATTGCGCACTGCCGTCTCCATCTCGTTTTCCGGCTTGCGCACTGCCGTCTCCAGCATCTCCTTTTCCGGCTCGGGAGAGTGCTCCAGTGGCTTGCTCACTGGCTGAACCCGCTGAAACTGCTGCTGCGCCATGCCGAGGAGGGCGCGCGCCATGAAGGCAAGCTTGTCCCGGCTGGGCGGCGGCGGCGCTTTGGCTTCAACGAGCGTGCCTTCACCGTCAAGGCGCTTGGAGCGCTCCTTCAAGCGTGTGATCAGAGCTTGGTTGCGCAAAAGGGCAGCCTGTTGGTCGCTGGCCTCTCTCTCCGCCCTTGCGATCGCCGCATCGACTCCCACCGCCTCCATGGTTGGACCCCCCACCTGGGCGATGAAGGCCGCGGCCGCTGGTTTTCACAACCCGCTGAACCGCGGTTTATTTTTTGTGGCCGGACCTGATGCCGGTAGGAGGGTAGGTCTGGGCCCTACCGGTCGGGGTTTCCCCTCTCTCCACGCCGGAATTTTCACAGCAAACAAGATTTTTTGGCGGAAATCACGTGCCAGCAGCGCATGTGTGGGAGAGATTTTTAGCAATACCAAACAACTCTAACACTCACACG